ATGAAATCGAAACGCTACTAAGAATTTGTGAAAAGATCCGTATACGATTATGAGATATAATTTAATCTTTTCATCCAATTTATCGAGGGCTTACTGAAACTGTTGATTGTAATCAAGCGTGAGTTATTGCACTCGAAGATCAGGCACTGAGCACCGATTACTGAATGAATTCAATATACATATTAACATTGTAATCACGCGTCAGCTGCTTTCAAAAATGTGATTCTCAATTAACAACAAACATTATGCAGATTCACTTTTTTTGCTATCAACCATGTGGAGAATCAAACAATTCATGCCAAAAGAGAAGTCCGGACTTGAAGGTCGCATGATTGACATTGGAAATCTTAAAATTCAAGTGCGCAATGTGATAGCTGAGGGAGGATTCTCTTGTGTTTACTTGGCTCAAGATGCTCTAAATGGTTCAAAGCAGTATGCACTAAAACACATGATATGTAACGATGAAGAATCTCTAGATCTTGTGAAGAAAGAAATATCCGTGATGAAATCACTTCAAGGACACCCAAACATTGTCATGCTATGTGCACATACTTTCTTGGATACAGGGCGCACAAAGGAAGCACTACTTGTAATGGAATTTTGTGATAAGTCTCTGGTTAATGTGCTGGAAAGCAGAGGTGCTGGCTTCTTTGAAGAGAAACAAATTCTTCAAATATTCAGAGATGTCTGTAATGCAGTTTTTGCTATGCACTGCCAGTCACCACCCATTGCTCACCGGTAATTAACATAATACTTATTAAATTCTTTTCTATGTCTTTTGCTTTTGAAGAACATTAGCAATAATTTTTAATTTGCAAATGTAGTGACTTGAAGGCAGAGAATATTTTGCTTGGATCTGATGGATTATGGAAGTTATGTGATTTTGGTAGTACATCAACAAATCATAAACGTTTTGAAAGGCCAGAAGAAATGGGCATTGAAGAAGACAATATAAGAAAACACACAACACCTGCCTATAGATCCCCTGAGGTTTGTTTATTAAAGATAATTAACAATCAAATCTTTCTTTTTGATTCATTTGCAACTTTTGTTCTTGTTTCAGATGTGGGATTTGCTTCTGAGAGAAGTTATAAGCGAGAAAGTTGATATCTGGGTAAGTTGGGTGCTCCATTTGTTACTCCGAGCCATGTGAAAAGACGTGAATGCCCTTCTCATCCTAGTTTGATTTTATGCAGGCACTTGGGTGTCTACTATTCCGCATCTGTTACTTCAAGTCTGCATTTGATGGTGAATCGAAGCTACAAGTTTTGAATGGAAATTATCGCATTCCAGAAATGCCAAAGTACAGCTCATCAATAACAGATCTCATCAAGGACATGCTGCAATCTTCTCCAGCTTCCAGACCAGACATCACGCAGGCAAGAGCTTTGCTTGATTGGACATTCATCTCCATGAATTTAGGTTAGTTATACACACATGGAACATAGCTGCCATGTGTATACCCATTTTTACTCATGTCATTTTTCTTTGATTTATGCAGGTGTGGTTTCGAGTTAATGGTCTATTACCCGATGAATCTCAGAAGTCTTTACCTGATAGACCACCTGAAATGCTCCAAGCTGACATCCATGAAGGTCATAAATCAATTCTTCTTGATATTATTATTATATTTTTATTCAAATTTTAATAGTGGTTTAACAGGTCTTTCAAAGTCTGCAAATAAATCTAGCCCGGTGCCTCGTAGAAGCCCACCGCCACCACCAACCACCACCGCTGAGTCATCCCGGAATGAGGGAAGTGGTGGGCCCTTGGGTGCTTTCTGGACAACTCAGCATGCTAAGGAATCAGCTGTTGTTGAAGAGCTTAAATTTGATGAAGAGCCAAGTGGGGCTGAGAGATTTACATTACACAGAACTAGTCCTCCGAAAAATGAAGCTCGTCATTCCCGGTCCTCGCAAAAAGTGGTGCAGGGGAAGTCGGGTCCTTCAAAGGACTTTGAAATGAACTTTTTCCCAGAAGGTGGTCCCAAAGCAAAATCTAATGATGGTTTTAATGCTTTTGCAACTGAGTTTGGCATGAATAGAGTTGGGAAGGAAGAGGAGTTAGAGGGTGAAGTAGAAAGATTAAGGGAACAGCTGAAGCAGGTTAATATGGAGAAAAATGAACTGAGTTCTAAATATGAAAAGTTATCTGCTATTTGTCGATCACAGAGACAAGAGCTACATGAGCTGAAGCAAACTCTTGCTGCTGCTACTACTCCATCTCCAAATAAAAGCAGCTCTAAAACCCAGCCATCTCCAGGAATTCAACACCTGTCTCCATCTCCACAGGTAAATTTCATGGTTGTTTATTATATATAGCAACATATCACATTTTTTCTTATTATGATGACATTGAAAATTGGTTTTTGTATTTGGATGAGATTGGTATAATTTAATTGGGTAGATTTATGAAAGAAGGTCTCATAGGAAGAAATGAAAGTATATGTTGTTGTTGGTGTGTTTTAAATTATGATTGAGATTAATTTGTTTCTTTAATTTTAATAGCAGAAAGAGAAAGAGAAAGATGGAAGAGTTTGGGAGGTTGAAAAGGGATTATTTGATAAAGGGTCCCCTGAACAAAACTCATGGCAGGCATTTCCTGAGGAGAATCCCACAAACAACTCCAAATCTGTTAGAACAAGAAATGGGCACCAGAACAAGCAAGCGGCAGAAGGTGGCACCACCACCACCAGTTGGGGTTTTGGAGCAGAAAGCTTCACAGCAGTTCCTGCCACTGCTAGCTCTCACTCTCAGGTAAACACAACACCTAATATCCCTATCATCACCACCAATTCTGGGCGTTATGGGGAGGAGTTTAAAAACAAAGAAAGTAAGTCGGCTTCCCGACCTGCTGGATGGGCTGGTTTCTAGTCTTGCTGATATGTCATTATTATATAATCATGTGTTAAAAAGATACTTGTCTTGTGATCTTGTCGACATTTTAAGAAAACTGGTTGGACTTGGGGTATTATATTAATAGGAGGGTCAAGAACATCTGAAACAAATGATTGTCGATTTGTTTTTTCTCTTCTGGTGTTGCTATGTGTGTTTTTGTATATCTGTTTACAGATTCCAACTCATGTTATTAATTAATTAATTCATCACTATCAGCTTAGCTTTTGTTGTGTTACTCTGTGCTGCCTCTGGTTAAAAAGTCTAATACAAATCAAATAACCCATATGATAAGAAAGAATGTGCCATTGGATCATTCATCATTCAGTTTAAGGAGGTTGGATCATGTCATACCATTATGGTTTCTAAATACCAACTTCTTGCACATCATCGTCTTTCACTAATCTAATAAGGATTCAAATTTCAAAAATTTTAAACATCCTACTTCCAAGTTTCCAAAATTAAAACATAAATGCATGCAACCAAGGTTCTAAATAATGCGACGGCAAGGTCAAACCTCAAGCTTTTACGAGCTATAATGTTTTTCAAGACGTGACTTAGGGCAACAATTATATATATATATATATATATATATATATATATATATTCTAACTAAATACCTAAATAAGGGTAAAATTGTAATCTTAGCTAATAATTATTTTTGGTAAATTTAAATCAATGAATTTCCCTTTAAATAACAATCGATTCACAGCATTAACCCTAAATCTCGTTCCAAGCCTTCTTCACCAGAGAACATACGATTTCTACCACAAACCCAAACAAGTCGCAAATCCGATGGTGTTTGTGTTGCTTGGTGTTCGGCAGGAAGAGAATGATGTTTACTTGTAAGTTTGATTTTGTTTTATATTTTGTTGATCAGTACTTTTCTCATCAATTGTTCTTCTGAAAGTTAATCGACTTTGTGATGTGAAATCATTCCATCAATTGTTCCTCCGAGCCAGTTAAAATGGCTTCAATCACTTTAGTTCCATGTAAAATTGAATATGTTAGTTAAGCTTCTTTGTTTGATCTAACCAATTGAAATGACTTCATTCACTTTGGTTTTGCTTGAAACCTCATATCTATGTGTACATAGTATCCACTTAAGCCTTCAAGTAGCTTTGAGAGTTTTTATCTTATATTTTTTGACTAGTTCCTGACCGCTAGGGGTTTAAGGTGTGCGAGGGTCCCAAGAAAAATAGGGCCCGGTTTTTTACGAAGTTATATATATATATATATATATATATATATATATATATATCAACTTCGAAATATTTACTAAATGTCCTTTTAGTTCAGCTGGTAAATCACGTACTTTTTATTACTACCATGTGATCCGGGTTCGAAACTTGCATTGCCAGCGTTTTCAATTTTTTTTGATTATTCACGCAGTCTAGCTAATAAAAAGCCTTAATTTTGCAAGAAAAAATCTGTTTTACCCTCTGACGGGTTTTTGGGTCGTTAATGCCTCATACTTGTCTCATTTTTTGCATTTATGTCAAATAACTGGTTGCAAGAGGGTTTACCGGTTACCCCTCCACTTACCCCTCAACTGTAGAAGACTTTTCCCCCGTTTCTTAACCAACGACGAAATTAACCCCGTTTGGTAAACGTTAGACATAGAGCTCCACACCCTCTCTCTGAAACGTCAACTCAATCTCAGTAAATCATACTCTACTGAGAAAAATCTTGGGCTTTTGGGAGGGAATCATCACGAAATTTGGGTATTTGAAGAGGATTAGGTCTACACTGTTGGTATTGTTGTTCAAGCAGGAAGAAAGTTGGTTGATAGTCTCGTTGAGTTGTTGAACCAGTAAGTATCTCAAATCCATGATTAAAGCAATTAGCTACTTAAAATTCTTCGATTTTGTTTGTAAAATCTGTTTGATTTTGCATGTAACTGTAATGGCTTCATCGGATGACGTTTTCAAAGAACTCTTTGCTAGTATATACGAGCCTTTCTCTGGACTAAATGAGATGGATTATGAGCTCCATGGTATTTATATGGATCACGAACCAGAGCATGAGTTCGTGACTACGCTTGATAAATGTAGGGACGTCTTTCTTAATGTTCTACTTAGTGATGAAAACTTAAGGAATTAAAGCATGGTTGATGAAATCAGAGCACAAGTTTATCATGCTAATGAATGGCAAAGTGATGAAGAAGGTGAACAAGAGGCGGTGAAGAATAAGTACATAATTCATGATCCAAACACACCATGGGATAAGATGGAACCTAAGGTAAGTAATATGTTTGAGTCTACTGCACAACTTAAGTTTTGTATTTAAAATTATGGGGTGTCAAATGGATATCAGATATACTTTGAAAAATGTGATAAAACTAGAATAGTTGCAAGATGTGGGAAGAGGACAAAGATGAATGATTGTCCTTTCAGATTGTATGCTGGATGGATGTACAATGAAAAATCATTTCAAGTTAAAAATTTGGTTGGAGAGCATCGTTGCAGTAGGAAGTTCAAATTTGGAAGTCTTGTTTCCCCTGAATGGATAGGTAGGCATTACATTACTGAAATTGCAAACACACCTAAGATGAAACTTAGGGACATGATTGCTGATATCAAACAAAGGTTGGGATGTGTAGTATCCATTGGGCAAGTCCGTAGGGCAAAAAATGGGCCACTGAGTTGATTGAAGGAAAACTAACTGAACATTATGCTAGGGTATGGGATTATGCTGATGAATTATTAAGGTCCAACCCAGGTTCTACATGTAAAGTTAGTGTCACTGTCAATCCAGATGGGAAGAACTACTTCCACAGATTTTACATAGGTTTCAAAGCTCTAAGTGATGGATGGAAATTAGGGTGTAGAAGAGTAATTGGGTTGGATGGATGCTTCCTGAAAGGACAGGTGAAGGGTGAGTTGTTGACTACCATTGGTAGAGATGCTAATAACCAAGTATATCCTATAACATAAGCTATTGTTGATGTTGAAAACAAGCCTAACTGGACTTGGTTTATTGAGCTTCTTAGAGATAGTCTAGACCTTCATGATGGCAGAGGATTGGTGGTGATATGTGACCAACATAAGGTTTGTTTTCAATACTCCATTTTATATAAATGTTAACACAATTTAAAAGGGATGCATATTGAGTTGAATGTTCTTGTCTTGTAGGGATTGATTGAAGCTGTAAAAGATATACTCCCAAATGTTGAGCACAGGCAATGTGCCAGGCATGTTTATGCCAATTTCAAGAAAGCATACACAGGGTTGGAGTTCAAGAAATTATTTTGGGCTGCATCAATGAGTTGTGTAGAAAGTGACTTTAAGAGGCACATAGAAACCATCAAGAAGTTGAGCCCATCTGCATATGAGTACTTTGATGTCAAGACAACCAAAAACATGGTGTAGAGCTTATTTTGATAGGGGTTATGCGTGTGAAACAATTGAGAATGGAATCTCTGAGTATTTCAACTTAATCGTTATTGATGCTAGGAAAAAACCCCTTATCACAATGCTTGAGGAGATGAGGATATATATAATGGACAGGTTTTCCCATATGACAGAGGAAAATGTTAAATGGAAATCAAATGTTTGTCCTGCTATACTTAGGAAAATGCAGTTGTTTGGGAAAAATATGAGGTATGCATCAAAGAAATTTAACATTTGTTGTTTCTTTTTATTATTCTTACTTACTATACCAATTTATGTAGGTTATGGGTTGTAGTTCATAGTCAATGACATGTTTTTGAAGCTAGAAGAGGATGTGACAGCTATATGGTGGACTTGGACAGCAGGGCTTGCAGTTGCAGATTATAGGATTTGTCTGGGATCCCATGTGTACATGTAAATGCAGCCATCAACTACATCAATCAAACACCATATTTATATATTGATGGGTACTTTTCAAAGGAAAATTTTAAACAGTCTTACTCCTCTAATATCAAACCAGTGAATGGGAGTAATCTTTGGAGCAAAACTGGATTTATAAAGCCATTGCCTGCTTTGGCTAGGAGAATGCCAGGTAGGCCTACTACCAAAAGGAAGAGGCATGCTAGTGAACAAGAGGGGAGGTTTTCATCAACAAGGGTATTTGTACCAAGAACAGTAAGATGTGAGAAGTGCTTAGAGTATGGCCATAATAAAAAAAGTTGTAAGAATGAGAAAAAGCCAGTAGTACCCTTGCCACCAAAGAAAAGAGGCAGACCAAGGAAAGATCCATTGTTAACTGAATATGATGAATCATTAAGAGCTTCTCAATCCAGTCAGCCTCCAAAGAAGAAAAACAAGTCAAAGAAAGAAGCATCAAGTTCCAAGGTTTTAAAAGCATCAAGGTCCAAAAAAGAGGCTACTGAATATGATGAATCATTAAGAGCTTCTCAATCCAGTCAGCCTCCAAAGAAGAAAAACAAGTCAAAGAAAAAAGCATCAAGTTCCAAGGTTTTAAAAGCATCAAGGTCCAAAAAAAGAGGCTACTTCAACTCGGAAAGAAGATGTTTCTGCAACTCAAAAAGAAGTTGTTGTTGATGGTATTCAGATTGGGGAAGGTGATGGTATTGAGACTGGGGATCATGGTGATAGTATTGAGACTGGGGATCATGGTGATGGTATTCAGATTGGGGAAGGTGATGGTATTGAGACTGGGGATCATGGTGATGGTATTGAGACTGGGGATCATGGTGATGATATTCAGACTGGGGATGTTAATGATGTTATTGTTGAAGATGGTCATATTGCTGAAGAAGTTGAAGTGGTTGATGTTGGAAAAGAAGATGTTTTGCTTCCAAGGGTTGGTTTAGAGCTACACAAAGTACTTGATGAGGTTGAGCAGGGGTTGGACGAAATATTAGGGGAGGGTAGTTTTCAACAACAATCAGAAACCTATGATGCTACTCAATCAGATTATGGGGGTAATGTTGAGTTTAATGATGGAAAAGATGATGGTGTCCTTATATATAAGGTAAAGCTGGATGCTGAACAGATTGCATTGATGTTGGAAGCAGGATATAGCATGGAAGAAATTGAAGGTATGGAAGGGGTAGAACTGGAACTGGATGACATGCCACCCGTTGAGTTGGTAAGAAATTACTTTTTTGTAATTGTTTTTCATTATTTTTCTCCAATTTAATTTATTTATGTAATTATCAATATCAGGATATGGAAGATGTATTGGATCATCCATCTGATAATGATGATGATGCTATTATTGATGATGTTGATGGTATTGTTGATGATGCTATTATTGAGGTTGATGGTGGTGGTGAACAAAAAGAAGGGGATGATGATGGTCACTTGGGTGATGATGAAGGTGAACAAGAAGAAGGAGGTGATGATGAAGGTCCTGATGATGTCCCTAGAGCGACAAAGTTGAGAAAACCCTCTGAAAGGATCATTTTGCAGAAGTTGAAGAAGACGGTGTTTGATAAAAATGGAGGTGGTTCATCTGCTAGCAATCCAGTTAGGTTGGAGTAGTTGGTTAAGTGCTTTGGGGGTGTGGTGGGGAGGGTAAACACGGGAAGATGGAGCCCTTTTTGCTAAATATTATTGTCATTCCACCCACTAAATGCAACATACATCCACTTGTTTTATGTTATAAACTTGGTTGCCTTTTTTGATAATTTATTTAGGCTTTTGGATACAATTGGATGGCTGCTACGTATTAGTGAAATGTAAAAAACCTTATGCAATTAATACACCCCCTTTTATTTGTGTTATGATGAATGTGTTATCCATTGTTGTGAATTTTTATTACCATATAAGAATCTTACTTTTCATTTATGTTATGTTGAATATGTTTACCAATATTGTCAACTTTGATAACCATTTATGCATCTTACTTCCCATTTGTGTTATGGTGAATATGTTTACCATTATTGGCACATTTGATTACCATTTTATGCATCTTACTTTGCATTTGTGTTCTGCTGAATGTGTAGTTACCATTTTCACAAAACCGTTCACAAAATAGATCATAACCATACAAACTTTAATACTATTGCACCATTCAAACTTTTACAGATTCAGTACATATACCAATGTAATAAACTACACTACAAACTTGTTATCATTTCATCTAAATTACATCTTAATAACCACAACAACAAGACATACCAAAATACTCACTAGCAGCCCTACAATCAGTTTGAGCAACATCACAGATTCGATATCTTTATGTTGAAGGTTCAATTGCTTCTTAAAAGCACTAATTTCGTCTTCTTCTTCATCAACCCATTTGAAATGACCACAACCACCATCTTCATCTTACAAAAAGAATAATAAAATTACATAAAGAAGGGACAATAGTAGAGAGAGCATAATTAGGGCAAACATCACAACAATTATCTGGTAATTAGGGCAGCCACGAAACTTTCGTCCCGGGTTTTCTGGAGTGCGTGAAACATAAATAGGGCAAATATCACCACACCTACATCGGATTATCTCCCGGTTTTTCCTTCTTGATGTGCCGCTCCAGCTTGAATTTGATTTCGACATTGTCATTTGGTGTAGAAATCTGATTTTGTTTTGGTGATGTTCTTCTTCAAAAACCCAGCTTCGTCGTTTGGTAAATGGGGTTAAGAAACAGGGGAAAAGTCTTCTACAGTTGAGGGGTAAGTGGAGGGGTAACCGGTAAACCTTCTTGCAACCGGTTATTTGGCATAAACGCAAAAAATGAGACAAGTATGCGTCATTAACGACCCAAAAAGCCGCCGGAGGGTAAAACCGACTTTTTCTTGCAAAATTAAGACTTTTTATGACATTATCCCTTTAGTTGGCTAACATTGATTTTATAAATAGTTCCTTCTAAATTAGCCTAGGTTTGATACTAATCACTTTATACTTTTATTTATTGGGTTAATGTCATAAAAACCCTCAAGTTTTCAGAGTTTTGTCGGTTTTGCCTAAAGTTGAAATTTATGTCCGTTTTTACCCAAACATTTTTGAAAAAATGTTCGATTTTACCCTTTTACCGGTGATAACAGGTTTTTCAGGTTACCATTATATTAAATTCGCAAAAAAGCCCTTAAGTTTACCATTTTTTGCGTTTTTACCCTTAAGTTTATAATTTTTTTACACTTTTACCCTAAGTATATTTTTTTCATAATATACATATTCATGCACATTTTTCATAATATACATATTCACTTTTACCCTTAATATGTATCTATACTTTTAAAAATATATTTATACTTAAAAAAAAACATATATCAAAATACATATTTACACTTCTAAAAATATATGTATATACTTATATAAACATGTTTATGAATGAACAAGTTTTTTTATTGATATGTATATTTTTAAATACATAAAAATACGTATTTGTAGTTCTAAAAGCATATTAATTTTTTTTTACATCTTAAATGGTTTATCCAAGAAAAAAAACCCATACACACACACACACACACACACATATATATATATATATATATATATATATATATATATATATATAAAGAATTAACATTAAAAAATGTAAATACACTATTTAATTAAAATTTTTTCGTTTATAAATATGATTTTTCTGCTTGAATATGTATAATATGAAAAAAAAAATACATAGGGTAAAAGTGTTAAAAAATTATAAACTTAAGGGTAAAAACGTAAAAAAACTATAAACTTAAGAGTTTTTTTGTAAAGTTAATATAATGGTAAAAGTGTTAAAAAATTATAAACTTAAGGGTAAAAACGTAAAAAAACTATAAACTTAAGAGTTTTTTTGTAAAGTTAATATAATGGTAACCTGTTATCACCGGTAAAAGGGTAAAACCGAACATTTTTTGGAAAATGTTAGGGTAAAAACGGACATAAAATTCAACTTTGGGCAAAACCGACAAAACCCTGAAAACTTGAGGGTTTTTATGACATTAGCCCTTATTTATTTTGTTTTCAATTTCTTATTCCCTTTTTTTTCTTCTGATTAACTACTTTTTTTTTTTTACTTTTATTTATTTTGTTTTCAATTTCTTATTCCTTTTTTTTTCTTCCGATTAACTACTTTTTTTTTATAAGAATAATTAACAACTTATCATAGTATTAGTGAATGTTGCTTATCAAAATAAAATATATATATATTTAAGACGCCTATTTTATTTTTAGCACAATGTCTTCAATATCAACGGACCGATCCTGACTAGTTCTACACATTTAAAACTACAAACTAGTTTTACACATATATAAAAGTTATCAACTTCCTAAGATTAATCAAAAGAAGAAGCTACCTAACTAATTTTATAACTAATTTTACCAAACGCACTCTAGATATTGAAAACAAAAGACTAATCAATTGTTAAATACATTCACATTCTTTTATCTCGCTCCCCCTTTGTGGAATTATGCTCTCCATATCAACATATACCGACCCCATAAATTCTACAAAAAAAACACCCACAATCCTCTACCACCATAATCCCATCTACAATACCATCTGCAGTTTGGTTGTTTTTGCATTCCCGATCGATTCATCAATCCTTTTCACTTGGTATTACACACATCCGTGGGCAGTTCCATCAACAAGGCCTTCTTGGAACATCTCCACAAGCCACAATCCTATTTTCCACCACATCCATCATCACAAGCTCATGTCACCACTACCACTCCCTCTCGTTTTGCTTATGGTCCGCCATTGACCAAATTTCATGGAGCTTTCCACACATTGAATCTTAATTAATTAGACAACCCCTGCTACATGGATGGCTCTACAATGTCACATCTCACCCCGACCCCTACTAACATTCCTACCTTTTTTTTTGTTTTAACTAATGACGATTGACAATATTTCATCACCACCACACCTAGGGATGTTCAAAACTGGATATCTGGAATTTAAGATATTCGGATTTTAGTATCGGAATCCGTATCCATAGTTCGGAAATTCGAGAAATGCATTGCCTATAATTAAAACTCAATCAACAATATAAACAAACAATAATATGATTAGTAATTAACCTTCAAATGAGTAATTAAGCATCAAAAGGTGCTATCTGTCTCAGTGTTTGCTATTTCTTTGATCATTAATTAGCATCAAACGATAATATTTTCTATATTTCTAATTGCATTAATTCCACAGCTCCATGCCCCGGTTGATTTTTTTGTTTCTTAACTCTAGTTTATTACCAAAATATCTTATAAATATGTGGTAGAAGCGGACAAAATGGTAGTCAAGTTCACCTAGATAACTACTTTCTTTAGGAATATATTAATAAAGAATAAAACCCAATAATCCAACGAAGAAATATAAAGAAACATAACATCTACAATTCAACTAGTCAATGGTCTTCTTGAATCGTTAACTTCAACTAATGATTTTTTAAATCCCTATAAGTGTTAAGGCCAGCTTACAAAATTTTGATGGAATCTTGTTAAGGACAAAAATATATTTATATTTTAGTTAACAAGATAACTAATAAATAATACATACACATTCATAGAAAAGCTATATAAGAACAAACAAATCAAAATCTAGAAAACAAATATTGCCATCTAAAACAATACTCTTGGAATATTTGACATTCAAATTCAATTTATATAATATATTTAACCTAACATCAGGGTCGGTCCAAACGTATATGGGGCCCGAGGCGAAGAGAAAAAAAAGGCATTTTAAAGACAAATATAATAAAGATTAAAAAAAAATATCATTTATTCTTCACTATAAACGCGTTCAATTAGCAATAACAAACAAGCCAAATTGTTTGTCTTTTGAACTAGTTTGAGTTTGAACCAATTTTAGCCTTAAAAATCATTTAGGTAATATTTTTTTATATATATATATACAATACATAGCCCATAAATTTTGGGCCCCCTGAGACGTGGGCCCTGGGCGGTCGCCCGGATTGCCCACCGTCTGGACCGGCCCTGCCTAACATTGAATCAATGGTCTAAATAAATAAAATTAGTCATATAGAATAGATATATATTTTTTTACAATAAACCTGAATATACGTCCTTTGTTCCCTGCAAAATAAAAAAAAAAAACTAAAATTAAAATTACAATAAACTCTAATTTATTAAATGTTCTAGACTAGAATCATAGCAATTATTATATGCATCCCATTGAAGGCAAGATGACTTCCCATAATTCCTCTAAGATTGTGTTTTGTGTTTGAGAAGTACGAAGTCAAAAACCCCAAAGGGGCGGAACTCAAACCCAACAATTAACCTAAAAAAAACAATCCCCATATAGATCTCGTTCAAGTCCGCGCCTCCTCCTCCCGTCGCCCCTTTTGTCATCACTCTCTTCTAAACTCCAAATCAAACCCTAATTCCTCCTCAATCATTGCCTTCAAACCTTCAATCCATTCATTACTTTCACCGTAAACGTCAATTTAAACCCTAAGGAGGCGAATCGGCGCTCAATTTGACTTGTTTCGCGTTTCTTTGAAGCTTCTTGCGACTATAGGGTTTTTCTGCGCTTAATCCTTCTGGATTTTGATAATTCTTTTCGTTTTGCAAGCTGGCTATGGACTACGAAC